TATATGTACTCACTTATATGTGGTTGCGGGAGTCGAGTCATAACTCCTGGCCCTGCCTCTTCACTAGTCAATACTAATTCACTCTCTCCCTGGTCCATGAACTTTGTCATACCTTTTCTTAAAGTTATGTATGGAACTTGCTTCTACTACTTCACTCTCCAGATTATTCCTCTTCCTGACAACTCTAAGGCTGAAGAAATACTTTCTAACATCCCTATGACTCATCTGGGTTTTCAGCTTCCAATTGTGTCCCCTTGTTCCTATATCCCACCTCTGAAACATTCGAGCCCTGTCCACCTTCTCAATTCCTCTCAGTATTTTATACGTTATTATCATGTCCCCCCATCCCTCCTAACCTCTACTGTCATCAGGTTTGATCCCTTAACCTCTCCTCATAAGACATACCCGTCAGTTACAGGACTAATCGTGTTGCAAATTTTTTCGCTGTCTCCAATTTCGTGGCGTATTTGACTGGCGTTGATTATTCCAGTATAGGCCTTACATACACGGTGTACATTGTCGTGAATGACTCCTTTCTTAGATGTCTAAATGCCAATCTCAGGTTTGCCAATCTCCAGTATGCTGCAGCTGTTATTTAATTGATGTGAGCCTCAAGGGACATGTTCATTATAATGTTTACTCCAAGATCCTTTTCTTTAAGTGACGTTTTCAGCTATTGATTTTCTAACCTGTACTCCGTCTACGGTCTTCTGTGTCCTTTCCCAATCTTCATGACCTTACAGGAGCCATTTGTTGGACCAGGCTTGTAGTCTATCCAGATCCCATTCTAATCTTAACTGATCCCTGCCCGCTTGTATTCGCCTCATCAGTTTCATATCAACAGCGAACAGTGACACTTCTGAATCTATTCGTTCTACGATGTCATTCACGTATACAAGAAACAGCATCGGACCTATGACTGACCCTTGTGGAACCCCACTGGACACGTGCACCCACTCTGACACTTCAACATGTACGAACACTCGTTGTTTCCTTCCTGTCAGGTATTCCCTGATCCATTGCAGTACATTCCCTATTATTCCTGCCTGCTCCTCTAATTTTTGCACCAGTCTTTTGTGTCGCACTGTGTCAAAAGCCTTCTTGCGGTCCAAAAGATACAATCTACCCATCCCTCTCTCTACTGTCTTACTTCTGTTACCTTATTGTAGAACTTAAGTAGATTTGTGACACAGGATTTCCCATCTCTGCAGCAGTGCTGATTGTCATGTATGAGTTCAATCTTTTCAATGTGTTCCACTACACTTCTCCTGATAATCTTGTCAATGACTTTATATACAAGTCAGTGACACTGGTCTGTAGTTTAACGCTGCCTGTCTGTCTCCTTTCTTAAAAACTGGAACTACATTTGCTACCTTCTACGCCTCAGGCAGCTGTCCAGTTTCGATAGACTTACTGAAGATTGCCGCTAGCGGCACACACAGTTCCTCTTCTCCTTCTATCAGTATCCATGGAGATATGTTATCTGGTCCCACCGCCTTTGAGGTATCAGATTCACTTACCAGTTTCTTCACCTCTACATTGGTTTTTGTATTGTGTCCAGCACCTGCTGGTGCACCCTACCTCCACTGTTTGCTGGAAGCATTCCTGTCTCTATTGTAAATACTTCTCTGAATCTTGTGTTTAGAGAAGCCACTCTTTGTGTGCTCCCCTACTTCTTTCCTCAGCCGGATTACTTGGTCCCTGACTGTTGTTTTTCTCCTAATTTGACTGTATAATATCTTTGGTTCAGACTGGCTTTTGATGCTATGTCGTTCTTGTATTGCCTCTGTGCCTCTCTCCTTATTCCTGCATATTCGTTTCTGGTTCGTCTACTCAACTCCTTGTTTTCTTGAGTCCTTTGCCTTCTACACCTTTTCCATGCTCTAGCTCACCTGGCTTTGGCCACTTTACACCTCCAGTTAAACCATGGGCTCACTATGCTCTTACCATATTTTCTGTCACTCTTTGGTATGAAATTCTCTGCCTCCCTGCACTTTGTGTTCACTAGTTCCATCATTTCATTTACTATTTTCCCACTAGTTCTCCTTCCTACTGCACTTCATGCAGGAAATTTCTCATTTCTATGTAGTTCCCTTTGTTAAAGTTCGGCTTCTCTTGTTCTCATGCTGCTGCATTCTCCACTGTTAACTCTACAAGATATTCAAAACTCAGAACATCATAATCACTAGCGCCAAGGGGTCTTTCTTGTGTGATATCCTTTATGCTTGAATTATTCAAAGTAAATATGAAATCCAGCCTTGCTGCAACATCCTCTCCTCTTTCTCTGGTCATATCCTTAACATGTTGGTGCATGAAGTTCTCCAATACAGTCTCCAACATCTTAGCCCTCCATGTTTCTGGTCCCCCATGTGGCTCTAGGTTTTCCCAGTCAATCTCTTTATGATTGAAATCCCCCATTAAAAGTCATTTTGTCCTACCCACATGAGCCCTCCTGGCCACTTCAGCTAGTGTATCCACGATTGCTCTATTGCTCACATCATACTCTTGTCTTGTCCTCCTGCTGTTCAGTGGTGGGTTATACATCGCTGCTATCATCACCTTTGGAGCCCCAGTCTGAAATGTTCCTACAATGAAGTCGTCTGTTTCCCTTCTGTCCATTCCTCCCATTTCCACAAAGCTCCACTGGTTTTTGATGAGGAGTGCTAGTCCTCTCCCTCTGTTCTCTCTGTCTTTCCTCATAATCTGATATCCAGGTGGAAAGATTGCTTCTGTTATCATCCCTGTAAGTTTTGTCTCTGCTAGTGCTATGATGTCAGGTGATGCATCAGTGATTCGTTCTTGCCACTCTTCAATATCTTTTGTTATTCCATCTGCATTGGAGTAGTACCATGCCTTTAGCTTCCTTTCCATTAATGTATTTTGGGAGATGGAAGAGGAAGGCTCAGGTAGGGGGGGTGGGAGGCAGGGCGGAATATTATGGTAGGCTGCTGTGATTGTGAAATTAGTGCTTAGGGGGGTGGAGGCTTTGGAGTGTGTTTTGTTTCTGGTTATTGTGTTTGGTTGATATATGGTGACAGGGGATGAGGGGTTTCTGTAAGCATTTGTGTTTGATGCTTCCCCAAAGGCTGAGCTTTCCTGTCTGTCATTGCCTGTCCTCTCTCTCTTTCGTCTTGCTCTCACTTTCAGTTGTTCCCTTTCCTGTTGTGTTCTGTCTCGATTTAGGTACACTTGTTGATAATCTGGAGAGTCCTTTAACAGTGGCTCCTGTTGTAGTATCCTGTTCTGCACAGTTCTATCTTGAATGTCAATTTGATTGATTGAATTCTTTCCCTTGAATACCCCAAAATCTGTAAAAAATTTACCTGAGACATTTCCTTCTCCCCTGTTAATGTGATGATGTTCTTAATCTCTTTTTCCTTCCAATGCTTTCTTTTATCATAGGTCTTTCCTTCAGCCTCATGAATCCCATGAATAATTATTAAACTCTTTTTCTCTTCTTCCCATTTGTTTTCCCACCATATCCCTGTATCTGATTTAAACATCTCCTTTGTTGTTTCCCTTATCTCCTGGACATCCTGATGGCCTGACATTATTTCTGCAAGGGACTTCTTACCTCCTTCCTCTCCATCAGTCCCTTCTCTGTCTGCTGGTGTTCCCATTTCAGTCACTTTGTTACTTTCACACCTCATCTTTATATCCTGCTTCAGCACAGGTAGTTCTTCCTCCAGTCTCCCTATCTTTGCCTCAGTAGCTACAGCTCATAAGTCCTACTTCTTACTCTGTGCAGATAGTTTTTCAACCATGTTATTGCTAAGCTTGTGACTCATCTGAGTCTTTAACTTTAAGTTCTGCCCCCTTGTTGCTGTGTCCCCATTCTGAAACAACCTGCCCCTATCTACCCTGTCAATTCCTTTCAGTATTCTATATGTCGTTATCATGTCCTCCCTATCTCTCTTGTCCTTAACCTCACCTCGTAGGACATACCCCATAGCTCAAAGACTAGTCTTGTTGCAAACATTTACATTTTCTCTAATTTCTTAATATGCTTGATCAAGTGTGGGTTCCATACCGGTACTGCTTATTTCAATATGGGCGTGACATACACGGTGTATAAATTCTTGAAGGATTCCTTACCCAGGTGCCGAAACGACAGGTGCCCATATTCTGCAGCAGGTATTTGCTTGATGAGTATTATACTCACACCAATATTATTTTCCTTGAATGAGGTTTGCAGTATTTGGCTCCTTAGCCTGTACTTCTTCTGGGGTCTTCTCTCAACTTCTTCAATCTTCATGACTTTGCATTTGGTGGGGTTAAACTCCAGGAGCCAGATGTTGAACTAGGCTTGCAGCCTGTCCAGGTTCCTTTGTAGTCCCTCGTGATTCCCATCCACTTGAATTCTTTGAATTAGCTTCACATCACCTGCAAACAGGGACACCTCTGAATCTATCCCATCCATCATACACCAGAAACAGCACCGGTCCTAGGACTGACCCCCTATGGAACATCACTCATCACAGGCGCCCACTCTGACACCTCGTCATGTACATTCACTCGTTGTTTCCTTCCTGTCAGGTATTCTCTGATGAATTGCAATGTTTTTCCTGTTATTTCTGCCTGCTCCTCTAGCTTTTTCACTAGTCTCATTAGTAGAACTGTGTCGAAGGTCTTATTGCAGTCCAAGAAAATGCAGTCTACCCTTCTCCCCTCTCTCTCTTGTCTTACTGCTGTCACCTTGTAATAAACCTCCAGTAGGTTTGTGAGACAGGCTTGGCTTTTCAATGCATGTCACTGACACTGGTCTGGAGAGTGTGTATGTGTGTATATGTGTGTGTGTGTGTGTGTGTGTGTGTGTGTGTGTGTGTGTGTGTGTGTGTGTGTGTGTGTGTGTGTGTGTGTGTGTGTGTGCTTGTGTGCATCTAAAATGTTCAAACAATGAACAAAAGAAGCAGCTGATTCATAAGAAATAAAAAAAGATAGAAAGGAGCAACAGAGTGAAGAAAAACCTGGCAAGACAACGGAAAACAGTACGACAGAAAACGGGCCAGAGAAACTACCGTTGCCTGGGAGGTTAAGTGAGTCTTACCAAAACAGAGCAGTGCTTGTTGACACCAGCGGCCGGGTGGAGAAGGTCTGTCCCGCCACTCTACCTCATCATCTACTAGTCTCTTGATTTAAGGTAATGGAACTGCAGTCACCTTCCTTGCATCAAACTTGATTATCTCCCAGTTGTTTTATGATCATCGATCATAAAAAATTATTAATAATTCTAATATGTCTCAGGTCCATGAAGAATATTGTTTTGAAGGGGTTCTTGATCCAGGTAATTAATGATTATGATGACCTGAATGATATTTTCCGTTCCACAAAAATATTGATGCCAACAGGAGTGAGAAGATTGCATCAACAGCCCCAAGAGAACCCGCATCAACAGACACAGAGGCAACAGCAGCATCAACATGATTAAAATAGCCGCATCAATCATCCTGATTGTGATCATTCTTCACAGTGGTAAGTCCTCTGCTAGCCCATCCCGTCACAAACTGCGGTAAACTGATTATATTGTTCCAGTGGTGGTGTGTTCTGTGTCAGCATCACCTGCCTCAACTCACCTGTCTAATACTCTTTGGTTCCTATGAACCATAGAATTGCTTGTTCTAGAGGTCTGAGCAAAGCTCAGGTTAGGCTGTTTATAAGTTTAGTTGGATTACGTTAGATTTGATTAGGTTAGATTATGTTAGGCTAACTTGGTTTCGTTATATTAGGCTAAACAGTGGTAGCTTAAGTGAAGTTTGGTAATGTTAGAGGATCGAAGATGTACTGACTTCACCAGCATCATCCAGTTATTATTATTATTATTATTAGTATTAGTAGCAGTAGAAGTAGTAGTAGTAGTATAAATATATTTTTTTTTTATTTTAAATAAAATAATAATAGTAATAGAAGTATCAATGGTAGTAGTAGTGGTAGTAGTAGTAGTATTAGTAGCAGTAGTAGCAGTAGTAGGAGTAGCAGTAGTAGCAGTAGTAGAAGTAGGAGTAGTAGCAGTAGTAGAAGTAGCAGTAATAGTAGAAGTAGTAGTACAAGTAGCAAATGTAGTGGAAGTAGTAGCAGTAGTAATTGTACTAGTAGTAGAAGTAGCAGTAGTAGTAGTAGTAATAGAAAGAGCAGTATTAGTAGTAGTATTGCCAAAAGTAGCAGTAGTAGTAGTAGTAGTAGTAGTAGAGGAAGTAGCAGTAGTAGTAGTAGAAGTAGCAATAATAATATTAGTAGAAGTAGTAGCATTAATAGTAGTAGTAGAAGTAATAGTAGTAGTAGTAGCAGTAGTAGCTGAAGTAGTAGTAGTAGAAGGAGTAGAAGTAGAAGTAGCAGTTGTAGTAAAAGTAGCAGAAGTAGTAATAGTGGAAGTAGCAGTAATAGTAGTATAGTCTAGAAGTAGTAGGAATAGTATTAGCGTAATAGAAGTCAGTGTAGAAGTAGTAGAAAGGTAGCAGTAGTAGTGGTAAAGATAGAAATAGTATAGTAGTAGTAATAGTAGTAGGTAGTAGAAGCAGTAGAAGTAGCAGTAGTAGTTGTAGTAAGAGAAGTAGTAGTAGTAGTGTAGCAGTAGTAGTAGACATAGCTGTAGTAGTAGTATTCGTAATAGTCGTAGAAGTAGTAGAAGTAGCAGTAGTAGTATAGTAGTTGTATGTAACATTAGTAGTAGTAGTAGAAGCAGTAGTAGTAGTAACATAGTAGTAGTAGTAGCAGTAGTAGTAGAAGTATGAGTAGGTAGTAGTATTGTGTAGTAACGTAGTAGTAGTAGAAGTAGCAGTGGTAGTAGTATTGGTAGAAGTAGTAGTAGTAATAGCAGTAGTAGTAGTAACCATAGTAGTAGTAGTAGCAGTAGTAGTAGTAACCGTAGTAGTAGTAGTAGTAGCAGTAGTAGTAGTAACGTAGTAGTAGTAGTAGTAGTAGTAGTAGCAGTAGTAGTAGTAACCGTAGTAGTAGAGTAGTAGCAGTAGTAGTAGTAACCGTAGTAGTAGTAGTAGCAGTAGTAGTAGTAACCGTAGTAGTAGTAGTAGAAGTAACAGTTGTAGTTATGGAGAACTGGCTAGATAAGTACACTTTCCTGCATAAAACAACTTCTAACAATGTGTACTTATCTGTCAGCAGCATAATGTCCAGCAGCCTCCTCCTGGCCGTCCCTTCAGGGTGCCCTTCATGGTCCACTGGCGCTGCAGATTAATAAGTTTGTTATTCATATATTTGCCCCTAATTAGCATATATCTCAGCATATCATTCTCATAGGAAATTCTTAGTGGTACTCACTTGATTTGGGCGTGAAGCTTTCCCATCATGTCTTTGTACATGACAGCCCTAATCACCATGTGTCTACCCATGGACTGCAGTTCATAATTGGCGTTAAAAGAGATTAAGACTTTTCCTGTTCGTGTAATGTGAGCTATGGCGATGACAGCGCCATTAAGACCGATAACGGTGAACTTGACCGAAGTCTTGTGTCTCTGGAAATGTTGCACTTGTTCACCACTAAGTCGGGAATGTTCGTTGCAGTCACTTATAATACCGGTTGCGCTTCACCATTCAGTACCATCACTTGTTCATACTTTCCTGATATTATCCACAGCAGGGAGAACACGGAGACGCAATAACACTACATAATTAGTTCTACCGCGCATTTCCTGACTCATATAAAGGAACTAGTCTAACTTTCCTAGTTTCCTAAGATTGTCAGAATAAACAAGAGTCAAGAACGCACTAGTCACTACTGTCCCTTTGCGTTTTAACAATAAGGAGTCATCGTCCTCGTGACACACACCTCCCATCCGTTCCTTGCAGCAGTCTGAGGCCTGAAACTCGCCTCCTCATTGTCCCCACAAAGGATATGCTAAACTCAGCTTTATTTCTCTTCCTTGCTACACATTGCCACATTGTGGAGAATTTTCTCCACAGTACTAGTGGTTGAAGTAGCAGTAGTAGTAGTAGTAGAAGTAGCAGTAGTTGTAGTAGTAGAAATAGTAGCAGTAGTAATAGTAGAAGTAGTGGAAGAAGTAGAAGTAGTATAAGTAGCAGCAGTATCAGTAGTAATAGTGGTAGTAGAAGTAGTAGTAGTAGTAGTAATAGTAGTCGTAGTAGAAATGGTAGTAGTAGGAGAAGTAGTAGCAGTAGTAGTAGTAACAGCAGTAGTAGTAGTAGTTGAAGATAGAAATAGTAGTAGTAGGAGTTGTAGTAGTAGTAGCAGTAGCAGAAGTAGTAGTAGTAGTAGCAGTAGTAGTAGTCGTAGTAGTATTAGTAGTAGTAGTAGTAGTAGTAGTAGTAGTTGTGATTGTAGTAGTAGTTGTAAAAGTAGTAGTAGAAGTGGTAGCAGTACTAGTAGTAGTAATGGTAGTAGAAGTAGTAATAGCAGTAGTAGTAGTAGTAGTAATAGCAGCAGCAGTAGTAGTAGTATTGGATGTCATAAGCAGGTGTGGGCTCGACTCTCCGTCCACTAAGCTTGGGTCAGCCTAGCCAGGTAAAGGTGAGGGAGGAGTGAGAGGGAATAGGAGGAATTTTGGTATATATTAACATGCTAATATATACATCATCTGTTGAGGAGGAAAACTTCAGTTAAAGAGCAAAGTAAGAGTAGGTGTAATGTTTGCTACGTGATTTATGTCTCCAAAGAGTCGCTTGTTTACACTGAGATACTGAACACCACAAATGATGTAGTTGAAGTTCTAACATTAAAGATCAAGAACCAAAATTTAGTCATTATACTTGTATATAAGTCGCCAGATGCAACTTCCAAACAGTTCAGGGAACAGCTATTGAAACTTAACTACTGTCTGGAAAACCTTCCAGCCCCATCCCCAAACATCTTGCTGATTGATGATTTCAATGTAAGACATACAAAATGGTAGAATGTAGCAAATAATGTTATAGCAGAAATAATCTCTGGAGACAGCTCAGATGATAAGTCACACACACATGAGCTGCTGAATTTCTGCAATAAACACTCCAACAAGACTGGAGAACACACTTGACCTTATTTTCACAAGTAATGAGGACACAGTAAGATACACAACAATATCAAAAACAACTAATTCACATCACAGTATAACCGAAGTCCAGACTTACATGCACAGGGATCTTGACCAGCAAAATGCATACAGCTACGAGGATTCCTTCACCAACTTCAACAACAAGAACATCAACAACAAGATGTTGGGAAGATATCTTAAATTACATGAACCCTAATTAGTGCCTTGAAAAGATCAACTTCATGATAGCTGAAGTGTGTTCAAGGTATATTTCCCTAAGAAAATAAAGAGACGTAAACTGGAGAGAGAGAGATGCTCCCTCTACAGGAGAAGCTCCTCAAGAACGCTAGATTGTATGGAATGCAAAAGGAAGCGCTATCCAGAGAAGTGGAAAATATCGAGCTTAAGCCAAAGGATTCATACAGGTTCTAGGAGAGACAGGAAGAGCTAAAAGCAATTAACATTGAAAGAAAATCGAAATATTTCTTTTCATATGCCAAAAGCAAGGCAAAAACCACATCTATCATCGGGCCCTTGCTAAGACAAGGTGGAACTTACACAGATGACAACAAAGAAATAAGATACTCAATACCTCTTTTTATTCAGCGAGCAACTAATAAGTTTATAAATCAACAATCCAAATATTTCATGAATGAGCCTCAAAACCTTGTCAATGTATGCCAAATTTCTGACTCCACTGGACTTTGAGAAAGCCATTGACAACATGCCCATGCACTCAGGCCTAGGCCCAGACTCTTGGAACTCTGTGTTCATGAAGAACTGAAATATATATATATATATATATATATATATATATATATATATATATATTTATATATATATATATATATATATATATATATATATTGGAAAAGGCGTATGACAGGGTGGATAGGGGGGCAATGTGGCAGATGTTGCATAGTGTATGGTGTAGGAGGTAGGTTACTGAAAGCAGTGAAGAGTTTTTACGAGGATAGTGAGGCTCAAGTTAGAGTATGTAGGAAAGGGGAAATTTTTTCCCAGTAAAAGTAGGCCTTAGACAAGGATGTGTGATGGCACCGTGGTTGTTTAATATATTTATAGATGGGGTTGTAAGAGAAGTAAATGCGAGGGTCTTGGCAAGAGGCGTGGAGTTAAAAGATAAAGAATCACACACAAAGTGGGAGTTGTCACAGCTGCTCTTTGCTGATGAACTGTGCTCTTGGGAGATTCTGAAGAGAAGTTGCAGAGATTGGTGGATGAATTTGGTAGGGTGTGCAAAAGAAGAAAATTAAAGGTGAATACAGGAAAGAGTAAGGTTATGAGGATAACAAAAAAGATTAGGTGATGAAAGATTGGATATCAGATTGGAGGGAGAGAGTATGGAGGAGGTGAACGTATTCAGATATTTGGGAGTGGACGTGTCAGCGGATGGGTCTATGAAAGATGAGGTGAATCATAGAATTGATGAGGGAAAAAGAGTGAGTGGTGCACTTAGGAGTCTGTGGAGAC